AATGACTTGAACAGAATACGGTTACATGTGTAGTGTACATGTTGTTTTATGCCTAAACATCAAACAGCACACAATTAGACATAAAATATTTGGATTTCTGCAATGTATTGTAATGTAACATTGTTGTGGCCAGTTGTTCGTATTAAAGGTAAGTCATAAAGGTAACGTAATTAAACATAAATATATAATGTAACTATAAATGAAAAATATGTATAAAAACAAGTGGTGTAAACTCAGAATTCAGAGGAAAAAGTAAAAAATTATGAGATTTAAACTCAGAATTCAGAGGAAAAAAAGGCAAAATTGTGAGATGTAAACTCACAATTCCAAGAAAAAAGTTAAAATTACGAGATGTAAACTTGAATTCTGAGTTTGTTTCTCGCAATTGTGACTTTTTTTCTCAAAATTCAGAGGAAAAAGTAAAAAATTATGAAATTTAAACGGAATTCTAAGGAAAAAGTCAAAATTGAGAGATGTAAAGTGAGAATTCCACAAAAAAAAAAAATAAATAAACACAGCGAGATATAATCTCAGAATTCAGAGAAAAAAGTCAAAATAGCAAGATTTAAACTTAAAATTCGGAGAAAAAAAGTCAAAATAGTGAGACGTAAACTCCGAATTCCGAGGAAAGTCAAAATTGCAAAATGTAAATTTGGAATTCAGAGAAAAAGATTTGAATGTATATAAACTTGCAATTGTGCGCAAGAATTATGAGATAAAAAAGTTGCAATGCTCTTTTTTATATTTATTCCATGGTGGAAACAAGCTTGGAAAACTTTTATATGTATGTACATTTATAAATCATTCGGAACGGCTCCTTCAGCAGTCTCTGTGTCTGGTGGGTGAAGTTAATCTTCCACTCTGGTGCATGTGTTGTGTTTCCAGACCTGTGGACCTGCAATGCAAAAGTCCTCGAGCCGCCCACGTCTTTCATGTTCGCAACCCATCCAGAATGCTGGCCGTGGAGCAGAATGTGAGACGGCCACCACTGATGAGGGAGGCCGGATACAGCCAGCAGCATGATGTCAGTCCTGGATGAACTTCAATAGCACACCCTACGGTTTCAGTGCGTTTGGGGCCATGCGAGGTCGTGACGGGGGTCACAGACAAAACGTCACCACATGAGAGCCGCCGCCGATCATCAAGATTTAGAGCTGAGCCCATCTCACTCGCTATAAAACAGAGCTGAGCTGTGCAAAAAAACACCTTGGAGATTTGAGAAATGGCAAACCCCAAATAACACCATGACAGATGCTGTAAATGTTGTAAATGCAAAGATGGAAGAGCTACTTTTAAATGTATTCATCTACAAAATGACAAATGACACAATGAACTCCTGACTGAACTCGGCCCACAACAAAAGCTCTGTGATTTTTACCAAATGTAACTGCAATCTGGTTATTGTAGGCTTTTTAATGACTTGAACAGAATACGGTTACATGTGTAGTGTACATGTTGTTTTATGCCTAAACATCAAACAGCACACAATTAGACATAAAATATTTGGATTTCTGCAATGTATTGTAATGTAACATTGTTGTGGCCAGTTGTTCGTATTAAAGGTAAGTCATAAAGGTAACGTAATTAAACATAAATATATAATGTAACTATAAATGAAAAATATGTATAAAAACAAGTGATATATTTTTACAAATATAAAAAACCTAACTTTAAATGAAAAATGTAAACATGCATAATATACAAATGCATATCCAATTTTAAATTATGAATATAAACTTTTTTCAAAAATACGCAAAATATCTTCATTTTAAATGACAAAAAATATTATACATATATTTTTATTTTTATCAAAAGATAAAATTTTGATATTTATGAAAAATATGTAAAACCTAACTTTAAATGAACAATTTTAACTTGTATAAAATATATATTTAAAATACGTAAAACATTACTTAAAAAAATATATAAACTTGCATAAAATATATTATAACAATATTTATATATTATAGAATATATATTTTTCAAAAATATGCAAAAATACAAAAAACGAATTTTAAATGACAAATATAAACTTTTATAAAAATATAAATAATTTTTTCCCTAAAGATATGTAAAATCTCACTTTAAATGAAAAATCTTAATTTATATAAAATGTTAGCTAGGCAAGTAAAAATGACCAGGTCATCAGAAAAAAAATCCTTACTGTTGAACCTTGAGTTTCTTTTCTTTTCTTCTTCCTTGCTTCCTTTTTTTTTGTATTTTGGTTACGTATCACCATTTTAAATCTGTGTTTCTCCAAACCTGTGTATAAGACATGTGATGTGCAAAGGATGTATTCCCTGGGACTGCATACTTGAGACTGAAGGACTCTGATTAAAAAGACATTTACTGATCGTCCGTCGTTAGCACAGGATTCGCTCCAACATCAGTGAAGTGAGTGAAGCCAAGAAAACAATCATCTCAGATGAGCTGAATGAAAGACTGATGCTCGTCACGGATGAACAGTCACAGGAAACAGAGCAAAAAGTCTGGCTTCTTAGACAGGTACGAAAAGAGCCGTGAAACATGATGTTATTGTTTCAAATCTCTGTTAAAGTTGACTTCTAACCAGTCGATGAAGGATATTTACATTTTATAAACACAACACAAGATAGTATTTCATAATTTTGTGCTAATATGATTGCTTCAACAGACGAACGCTTTTCAGCAGGGGTGATATCAGGATACTGGACTCATTATCACGTTTCCTCTCCCATGTTGAGACATCAGTATGGCTAATGTACTTCTGATACAGTGTGTGCCAGTAATAACAGGCTCTTCACAGCATTGAGACGAGAGTCCCACAGATATTCACTCATCCGGCGGAATAAACATTTAAATCCAGCATAATCACAGGCTCTTTTAACTCGCTTTGATGAATTGCTAATTCACAAATTCACTTCGCAGCTGTTCATGATGGTATGAGGTGGAGGAGAGAACTTTAGGGGTTCACATTAAAGCAAAAAGAGATGCTGCTGCATTCCTTACAGCTTCTGGTTGAAGATCTAGTACGGGTCACTGCTTATTACATACTGCTAAGAATGCTGGTCAGCCCTTCTACTCGAAGAGACAGTTCAACATGAAAATTCAGTCATCATTAACTCAACCTCATGTCGTTCCAAACCTGTTTGACTTAATTTCTTCTGTAGAACACAAAAGAAGATATTTTGAAGAATGTTTCAGTTGTTTTTTTCCGTAGTTTCAGACTGCATTGACTTTCATTGCACAGCAAAAAGATTGAAATATCCTTGAATGGCCTCAAACAAGCACTTGTATTTTTCAAATGATCTTTTTTTGGTGTTTACAGAAGCAAAAAAGCCATTTTTTGTTTGAAATATCCCTCTAACCCTGGTCTATGGAAGGCTTGTTTCCACCATGGGATACAAAAGAGGAAAAAAAGGAATAAAAAAGGTAATTGTGACTTTTTGCACAGAAAAAAAATCAGAATTGCAAGATATAAACTCAGAATTCATACTTTTGCCTTGCAATTCTGAGTTTACATCTCAGAATTCTGTTTTTATCTGAATTCTGAGTTTAAATGTTACAATTCAGAATTTTCCAGAATTCTAAATTTACATCTCGTAATTCTAAGTTTGCATCGCGGAATTATGACTTTTTCTCTCAGATTTCTAAGTTTGCATCTTGGAATTCAGATTTTTTCCCTTCAGAATTTTAAATCTCAGAATTCAGACTTTCTTTCTCAAAATTCTAAATTTACAACACAGAATTCTGCCTTTTTTTTCTCAGAATTCTAAGTTTACATCACGTAATACTGAATTTTTTCCTCAGAATTCTAAGTGTACATCTCATAATTCTAATTATTTGTCTTAGAATTTTAAGTTAACATCTCGGAATTCTGACTTTTTTTCTCAGAATTCTAAGTTTACATGTCGTAATTATTACTTTTTTTTCTTAGAATTCCAAGTTTACATCTACTTTTTTTGTCATGGAATAAAAAATAAAAAAGGTAATTGTGAGTTTTTATCTCACAATTCTGACATTTTCCCTTGCAATCGCAAGTTTATATCGCAAAGTTTTATTTTCTTCTCAATTCAGACTTTTTCTCAGAATTGCGAATTTATATCTTATAATTGTGAAAAAAGTCCAAATGGTGAGATATAAATTCAGAATGTGAGGAAAAAAGTATGAATTGTGAAAAAATTGCAACTACCTTTAAACCGGGGCATTATGGTTATTCTGACTCAGACTGCAAGGTTCTGCCCAATATTTGATAACCAATTGCAGAATTAAAAACAACATAACATTTTGCTAAAAAATATTGCAATTACTGCAATTTAAACAACAATACTGGCAAAGTATTGTAAATAAATATTAGAGGTATAATGATACACAAACATGACGTTTAGTACAAATTGAAACAACAGTACTGGCACAGATTTGCTGGACGCTGTTGTGCAAATAATACCCGTTTTACGTTTCACCACTAAAGGAGCAAATTACATGGTTTGGAACAACTGCGTATAAGGATTTATTTCTCATCTCACTGTTGGTTCCACCATGTGTTTGGACTCAGTCGGCCTAAACCCTGCTGAGCTTAAGCAATGTTGCTCAAACTCACAGAACACCCAGTGATTTTAATAAAAGCACATTACATTTGTGTAAAACACTATTTAACGGCACAGTCAAAACGTCTAAAGGCGGTTACAGTTTCACCACATTTATGTGATGACTTTGCTGCTCACTGTGCCGACCACCCAAAAAATCTAATCACGCTGTTGTTTGCCTATAAAAGCAGCGACCCGTGAATTCCCAGTGTCAAATGCCTAGGGATATCGGCTGTCATGTCGTAACCAGAAAAACACAAATGCAATCATCTGCCAGTTCCTGTTCGCCAAATCTTAAATCATCCTGCCAATGGGTCGCCCTCGCTTTGGGCCGCTGCCGGTGCCACGCGTCCTGCTAAAGTCATCATGCCGCTTGAAGCAGGAGCTCTGCTGTAAATACAGTCCCTTTGCATTTTACCATTGAGACCTACTTACTTGAAATTGTCATCTTCCACGAACTTCTGAAGCTCCTCGATGTAGCGAACAGACATCAAGTACTTCTGCACATGCGAGAGGGTCACGAGGTGATCTGTGAGGAGGATGTCGAGGGTCAGACGTGTGCATGTATATATACACGTGGATCTGAAATCTCCCTACAGATTTCACGACTAAATATCCTTCGAACTGACTGAGAGCTAATGAACTGACCGTATGTGCAGGACATCTGGAGGTCAGAGATCACCCGCAGGATGTTGTTCATCTGATTGGTTCTCTGCTCAGTCTCAATGATGCTGTCAGATGCAGGATAGGCCGAGTCGATGTAAATCATGTCCAGCAGGTAGATCCCTGTGTGTGAGAAATGGAAGCGAGACGGACTATAAGTATTCATGTTATTTATGGGGACACTTCATTTCCAGCGATATCGTTGACATGATTGCAAAGATTATTTAAACTGTACTGAGCTGGATGTTGACATCACTGAATTCAATGATGAACTGTCTTTAACTGAAAAATGAGTGTTTACTATTGTCATTTTGCATTATTGACACTATTTTCCTAATTAATGCTGTTCAGTTGCTTTGTCACAATCTGTATTGTTAAAAGCGCTATATAAATAAAGGTGACTTGACTTGACTTGACTTATGGATTAACTGATATGGACATTTAGGCTGATATGATAGTAATAATATAATGACCCAGGATGAAGTATCACCATTTGTCATACTGACCAACTGACTGTACATTGTCTAGCTTATTTAATGGATATTAACTAACTAACTGTTTTTTTAAATAATTAAAAAATAAATAATTAGTTTGAAATTATTTAAATGAATTTATATTATTTTAAATAATATATTATAATGAATAAAAAACAAACAAATAAATGTAATGTTGTCAATGCGTGTGATGTTTTGAAAAAATTAATAAGGTGAAATTATTTTATTTTATGTGCCGAAAGCGATACAGGAGACACAAAAATAGAACAGAAACACAACACTGTATGTCAGTACAGCACTACGACGTGCTGATATCTGTAAAGACATCTGATAATACAGCAAAAAAACTGTTAACTTGAGATAAATTATTGTAAGTCTAATAAAGAGATAAAGCACCTCCATGCACAGTTACAGTTTATTACCTCAGTCAAGCTGTGATACACATTATACGTACTGACTAACAAGAACCAGGCATGTACTGCAGGAACAAGTGGACACAATTGGCCTTAATTTATCCCAGAATGCATCCTGATTTAGAGGCGAGGCAGAAATTACACATCTGCATGACATTCACAATTAAATATTTTCTAATCTTCTATTTGATTTTTGCAAGTTGATCAAAGAGCATAAGCATCTGATGAGACAAGAAGCGCTGATGTAAATGTCTGAGGCAGACATGCTTGGGTAATTAACATTTCCCATGTGCATCTTTAACATCAGGGTGTGTTTGTGATGATGGCATACTACTAAAGTACACTGCAGTACTCTACTTACACACTTCAGTACGCACTGAACATTGATCTCTTCATGAAACAATCCAAACCAAAAAAGTGTACAGACCCTTCATGTTGCTCCAAATTAGGGATGTAACGGTGTGCAAATTTCATATCACGATTATAGTGACCAAAGTTATCACGGTTATCAATATTATCACGGTTTTGTTAAAATGAGATTAAAATGTTCAAAAAGAACTAATACACACACTGAAAACATTCAATTATGACTTTTTAATCTCTTAATTTCAAATAATTATTGCATAATTAGGACTACGTATCTAACCATTTTTTAAAATCTCATATTTATGACTTTTTATCTTTAATTTCAATGTTATTTCTGGTAACTATGACTCTCATATCTCATAATTATCTTTTTAGCTCATAATTTTTTAACTTGTCATAATTATGAAAATCTCTTAATTTTGAATTATTATTTCAAAATTTTGACTGTTTAACTCACAATTATGACTTACGTAGCATCACATAATTTTGACTTTTAAAAAAAAAAATCTCATAAGACTTTTTCCTCTATAAATTTGCCATAATTATGATTTACAAAAACATGTTTTTTATGTGGTGTAAATGGGACATTCTTACATCTAATTTTGCATTTCATAGAGGAAGAAAAATAACACAGGACCGTAATAACATGCAGGTGAGCATATTATGAAAAATTATAAATTTTTGGAGTAAATAACTCTAATAAAACTTTAACTAGTTTAACTTCTATTATGAACTAAAACACATGCAGCCAAATACAATCCATAATCTGAATTAAACTCAAGAGACAAGCTGAGACAAATTAGAGACTAATTCAGGCCTTCAGACATATTCAGTGATCCTCATTGAGAACCACTGGAGTGACTGCAGCAGTTCAGCTGTGGAAAGAATGAAAAAACGGTTTCCAGCCGAACAGCTGAGGTCTCTGGAGAGTGAGAGCAGATGTATGAGGCAACATAAAGCATGTGCCATCGCTGTGGCGGAGATGGCAAGGCCTCCTGCAAACTATCAGATGGGTTTCAGTAATGCACACACGCACAAGGCTGGGACCCCCGCGCCGCAGTGGTGTTTCTTACAGTATGCCAGCGTACACAGCATTGTTCAGATAAAAAGTTGCTTGGTTCTATAAAATAAACAAATGACTAAAAATAAATACAACAAAAATAAATAGACAAACAAGCAAATAAATAAAAATAATAAATTAATTGATAATACATTTGTGCCACAGTGGTGTCCCTATTGGCATTGTACACAGCATTGGTTGGTTCCAGCAAGTTGCTTGGAACCAACCAACAAATAAATCAACCAACGAACTAACCAACGAGTGAACCAATCAAACAATCAATGAATGAAACAAACAATGAACAAACCAATGAACCAACTAACAAACAAATCAATGAATCAACCAGTCAACCAACAAACCAATCAACCGACCGACCAAGTAAAGAACCAACTAACGAATCAACGACTTGCAATGCAGGCTCTCTCTGGATTGTTCATCTTTACTCTAAGCCTCTTAAAATACTTGGGACAATTTCTTATGCTTATTCATGCATGCATGTGACATAAACTAATGAAATGCTCAAATTGTTAATCGTAATTATTCGTATAAAAATTAATCATCAGTAAAAACTGGCAGTCCTAACCACATGCACGAAGCAATCTAACATTGAAATACATAGAACACTGATAGAAAAGGCAGTTTTGATAATTCAAAAGCACTGAAGCATCTTAAAACATGAACATTAGCCCAGGAAATGTAGTGTGGAAGAGTTGGACAAAACTGCTTCCAGGCAGTGAGCTCATACACACTAACCAGTGTCACTAACTAAACATAGTAACACTACACTGCAAAAAAAATTCCGCTAATGTGTCGTTAAAATACTAATCTATTACTTTACTGAAATGAAAACTTAACATTTAAGGGGGACTTTAAATAAAAAAAATGTATGTAAAAGAGGTTCAGCTGACAAAAATGGGAATTGGGAATACCTGCTTTTGCACGTTTGTTCTAACAATTTTTTTCATTTAATGTTTTAAAATGTAAAAAATATTTTAATATAATAATCCACATTGTACTGCGTCAAATAAATACTGCTCTGATTATAAAAATTTGAAATATATACATTTAGTGCAGGTATTCCAAACTAATGCTAATAATTCATTAATGAATTATATAAAATGTCAAATTAAAATAATGAAAATTTACTAAAAGTTTAAATTTACTAAAAAAAAAGTTTAAGAGGTACTTCAAGAAAATATTTCATGTCAAAGAAGTTCAGCTGACAAAAAAAAGCTTGTGAAGTTGTAAATAAAACAAAAATGACTGAAGTAGGTCTTACAAGAAAACACTATTTCAGGCCTTCTGTCAAAATGTCATGTTTAATTCAACATGTTTCTTTGTAATTATTAGTGAAATCTACTAGCAATTTCGGAGTGAATATTGTTTGAAAATAAATCCAAATGTCGTAGTGTATACCTTTGTACCTCATCTACCAATCAAGGGCACATATTACAGTAAGGCTTTTAGGGATAAATAACATACAAAGTTTTTCTATTGAGGGCACTCCCACAAAAAAGGAACAATTTATTAATTTTGAACCCTGTTTTGGAAGGGACAGTAAAACAATGAAACACAGACAAAGCTTTAGAGGAGACTACAGCACATATGAAGAAGTCCTGCATTCAATCGCTTCAGAAATGCACATAAACACCTACTGTGCCGGCGGATTTTGGGAAGGCCCTGCAATGAATCAGACAAACGCTCCACTGCAATCTAAGCAAAAGCGGACAGAAGGGATGTCATGTTATTCTCCGGCCAATTATCTTAAGTGAGACAATTTCATGGATGATTTTAAAGCATGAGCTCCTTTCAGAATGCATTATCTTCATGTGTAATTATCAGCTCATCTCACATCACATGCCAAGACAGAGTCCCTGCGAACATCCCGATGAGGACAGAGAGAGAGCGATAAGGAGACATGTTTGGACTGCAGAGGATATGATGTAGTGGATTGTTTTGAGGCTGTACATTCCATGTAAACACTCAAAATCTTATCAGATGAGTCACAAAACACATTTCTAGGACCAAATGGATCGAGAGGAAGCATATTGTTCTTGTTAAAGTTATTTTTCACTATGAACTTGACAAATAAACATTGTAGAGGTTCTCAGACAGTCTATACAATGACATAAGTGTTTAATTTATGACTCAAGCATCCATAACACATCTTTTTTGGATTTGTGGATTATGGACTAATTGCTAAGGTGTTCAGAGTGTTCTTAGAATGTTGCTATGTGGTTGCTAGGCAGTTCAGAGTGTTTTCACTAGTTTCTCAGAAAAGATGGAAGAGAGAAAGATTTGGCATTAAACCCTTTGGTGTGAAAGGTACAATGTGGATCAGTGGCTAGGGAGAAGTTTTCAATAGAGGACCACTACCATTCAAAACATTTTAGTTAGAAATGAATTCTTTTATTCAGCAAGGATGCAAAAAATTGGGCAAAAGTGACAGCAAAGATATTTAGAATGTTAGAAAAGATTTCTATTTCAAATAAATGCCATTCTTTTGAACTTTCTATTCATCAAAGATTCGTTCAACCGTACTAATAAGCACAAATTACTCTAGACAAACATTTGTGTGTCTTTGTTTATTGCTGAAGTGTGTTGAAATGTCTTCTTCTGCACTCTACTGTACGGATGTAAATGTACTTTCCCTTCAGCCTGAGGCTTATTCATTTCACTTTTGGTGTGAAAAGGCTTTTATATTTGCCAAAAATTTAACTTTTTTATTTTAAAAACAAACAAGCAAGCTCTGTCCAGATTTAAAAAGTAACGCAAAAGTAACGTAACGCATTACTTTCCATAAAAAGTAACTAAGTAACGTAATTAGTTACTT